TCAACCAGGTCTTGATGGAGAATTTTAGGAAGCTTCCCGTGACGTTTGACATGGTACGTGACGCAACTGTGCGAGATCCCCTCTTGCGCCAGGTAATCAAATTTCACACTACGCAGTGGCCAAGTGATACTCTATCCGGAGAGCTACAAATTCTCTCTCGGAGAAAGGACGAACTTTCGATCGTAAATGGGTGTTTACTTTTGGCCGAGAGAATTGTCATACCCAAAGAACTTCGCCAAAGAGTCCTTCAGCAATTTCATCGGGCACATCCTGGAATTAACAGAATGAAAAGCATTGCTCGGAGTTTTGTCTACTGGCCAAACATTGATTCGGAACCCGAGCAACTAGTAAAGTCATGTCCCAGATGCGCGCTTGCTAGTAAGGCACCGAGAAAAGCTGACTTAGCTTCCTGGCCGTTGGCAACAAAACCGTGGGAACGCGTGCACGCTGATTTCTTTGCTCCCCTAAACGGTCAGCAGTACCTAATAGTTGTTGATTCCTATAGTAAATGGCCTGAGGTCTTCTGTATGGAGCGTGCGACAAGTGGTGCAACAATTAACATCTTGAGGAGACTTTTCAGTCAACACGGAATACCAGAAACCTTGGTCACTGACAATGGTTCTCAGTTCACTTCTTCCCAATTTGCCGAATACTGCGCACAGCATGGTATCACGCATCTACGGTCGCCACCGTTTCACCCTCAGTCAAATGGACAAGCAGAGCGCTTCGTCGACACGTTTAAGCGATCGCTACTAAAGATGCGGGGGGAAGGAACCACACAGGAGATACTTGATACATTTTTGCTCGTGTACAGATCAACTTCAAATCCCCAAGTGCCAAACCAGTTGTCGCCAGCAGAAGCACTAATGGGAAGAAAACTCCGTACTGTGAATTCCCTGCTAACTCCGAGGTGTACTAATGAGCAAGAAAGGAACGTTCGGATGGAGCAGTACTACAACGAGCGACACAAAACTCAAACACGCCGCTTTTACCCCGGACAACGTGTCTTAGTAAGAGACTATCGCGCGGGAAACCCGCAATGGGTGGTAGGATCGATACGGAGAAATATTGGACAGGTGCTATATGAGGTTAATGTGGGTAATTTGATTTGGACCAGGCATTCCAATCAGCTGCGACCAACTAGCATCCCTGCGGGCAGAAGCGCTCGGTTACTACCGTTAGATATTCTACTAGAGAGTTTCGACATGCCATCTAATCCCCAAAGCAATTCGGATGCATCCCGCACAGAAGTCTCAGAGGAACCGAAGGTCCAGACCCGGCGCTGTACTGATCGACTACGGAGACCTGTCGTAAGAATGCAGTTGGATCCAAAAATGAAGTCTTATGTCAACTTTTGCGGGGGAAGGTGTTAATGGGACGGAACCAGCCAATGAGAGCGTTTTACGCTGAGGGCTATTGATTTGGCCATAAATTGAATGTACCGTTAGTTGGACGTTAAGCAAATATACTTGCCAGCCGTACGCCGGTCTCCTGCTTTGGGAAGTCGGGCTGATCAGAGTGCACGCTAGCAGCAGGTCATCGGTAGGTCAGCCGAAACCATAACAAAGATCAACTCAAATACTGACTCTATTCAAGAAGAGGGCACCGTTTCTTCTCGCAAGATATTCAGGAATAGGTGTTAGCTGATTGACAACTGCCGCTCCGCCGTGATTGAACAGTCCTGGGGGAAAATTCATCGCAGATAGACCCATCTAGACAGCGACTAATGCCACTGAGCCGTGAGTGACAGCAACGGACTGCTATGGCTGATATCTAACTGCGATAAGCGGGACTCCTCTTCCACCGTCATGCTTGGGTGAACGGTACTACTCTCTAATAATCAGTAATCGTCTTGGCAGCTTACACGCGACTTGCAAAGGAAATGGCATCTCTGAAGGCCAACCCCGTCATCTGTACGTTCATACCATGCATGACAGTGGAGGATGAATCGCGCTATATCGCACTTGGATATCTATCATGGCGGTCCACCGCCATCACTCATAGCTCAGTGACGCAAGTCGCTGATTCGCGGGAGTAGGGTCATGGTTTCCAATCTCAGAGGATTCGGCGGACGAGCGGTACTGGCGAGTGCCAATAGGACGAAACGGCCGTCTAGCGATTTCTTGGATGTGTAACGAATGTCTAGCCTTGGTGCGTCCTCACAAAACTCAATATACTCTATAAGTATTCGAGCGTAATCTTAATAAACGACTTCGTGATCGCGGCCCAGTCTGCTTGTTTTCCGTAGGGCAACACGACAGTGTTGACTTGTTCACCGAGCTAGGCCAATTGTTTGCAGGTGCCTTGTCATCAGTGAAGATGACGTCTTCGCCGAGGAATACTGGACTTCAGAAGAAAATCGGGTGATTTGCAAATCGCGTGAGCACATATCATTGACCGGTAACGAAGGTAACAGTTTACGCAACCTCTTCTCGCGATCGGTATTAGTAGTGTACTACACGGATTGCGCTGCTTCATCCCACTTCGCAGGAACTTTCATGACGACAAATATCTGTCGTTCAAATATCGCTCAATACGGCAGGCAGTTCGGGTGAAACGTGGTTAGTAACTATTAAAATGTATATAGCGATCAGCTTATCGGTTGATGACCTGTCTGGTTATTTGTCCTGAGACAAGCGAAACTAGTGTCCAGTTATATCTGAACTCAGTTCCCCACTGTCTGCTTTTGAGAATTATACTCCGTTACTCCTACTTACGTTTTGGGTATAATAATCGCTAACAGCACCAAAACAAAGAGTGACACTAAACAACTAATTCATCGGAATTCGCAGCAACTTGTCAGACTCGTATGTTTGTAATACTGGTACTGTAGGAGTAATGGAAGGTCACTATTGTTGACTTAATTAGGCCACGTCCGACGGAGTTTCTGATCAAGTGTTTGCTCCAATGTGCAACTCTTTTTGTGAATGAGTGCACATTACCGTGACCTAATCTCTCGGTTCTTTTCTCCTCTCCGTCAAGTTCCCATTTGACTACCTCGGTTCTTAATCTCTCTCCAAGACATCGTACCTCAATCTTGTTTAACATCTGATAGCGACTAACTGATTGTCATTCACAATGATTTGCCCAATCCAGACACGACATACAGCCCAGTGTGTTGCTGCGGTGCCTTCCTTCAACGGCGACTGTCGTCTCGTGCTACTTCTTCGCTGTTCGCACTGTTTGTGTTCCGTGATTATACCTCTATCCATTCTGCGGGCCAACAGATTTCTTGATTGCTCATCTTCCTCCTCCGCATCATCATCATCTACAGACAGATCACCTGATTTGCGAATCCACCTGGAATCTCACGAGTACTCACAGTAACACCCAATGAGTAGGCAAATTGAGCAGTTGTTTAGTCATCAGCTAAATGCGTGACTACTGCCTTACGAGATAGTAGAAACCCGATGACCAACGCCCGCCTTACCCTTTCGTTCTGCCCACTGTTTTTGCAATCCCAGAATCGAACATGGACTTTCCACTGTCTTGACGCTGAAATGTCTACATCTTTTCTGGTCGCTATCTTAAACCGTCTTCTGCATATATTTCTCATGTGGTCGACGACCAAAGTGATGAGTATGTAACGTCTGCGATTCATGCATCCTGCTTGACATATCAATCTGACAAATGAGTAATGATATCACTAAGCTATCGTCAGCTTTTTCCCGCATTTTTGCTTTCGCTTTGTCTATATTCGGGGATTAAGTTTGAGCTCTTTCACCTGTTCATCTGGCTCACTTAGATCCTGCACGATGGCTAGCCGAACAACGTCCCGGTTGTGCCAGCTGGGTGGTTCGGGTTTCACCCGTTCCAGCAAATAGTTCGGCGGCAATGTTCCAGGACATGATCGGTTTTCGCCTAGCGAGCGTTCTCCCTATAAAAAGCCACAATTGTCTGCTTAACAACACTGTGACGTGGCTTAGGTGACTCGCCGCTAAATAAAGTCACTGCCCTTGATACTCGGACAATCTTATCAAATGCAGACGTCAAATATTCCTTCAGACATTGACGACGCGATCGAACTCATTCAAAAGAACAGTAACTCATTTACAAACACAAGCAACACGAACCTACATACCTGCATTTTTGGATCTGCATATATGAAAATCCTATTATACTATTGCAGCTTTCTTGATCAAATGTTGTAGTGTTACTATGATCATACCTTTAATGGCGTGCCTCGTGTAGGCGAGAATAAAAATTTCTTTCTTTATCTACAAGCTGTTGTCGGCAGTGTTGATCAACCCTGCGTACCAGTGAGCTGCAGTGTATGTTGCGTACCCATAGCTTGTCTCCAGATCACTCGGTGCGACTCTCATGCCTGTTGTCTGGCCGCCGTCTAACTTTCCGATGCTGATTCCGTATCTCTGCACAGTGGTTTAACTGGCACTCAACATGGCGTGTGTGCTGCCCGATGGAAGGACATTCGTAACCACCATATGGTGTGATACAGTCAGATTACAGTTTTCAACCATGCACGTTATCTTTTTCATTGTGTCCATTCTATGTACTTCACTCTTCATAGTTAATTATTTACAATCCCACGACCGTATGGCTGAGGACTAGCTAATACAGCCGAGCAGCCCCTTGTTTCGATCGCCAGTTACAAACGAATTCGTGGAGGATGGCGTTTTGCGACACCTTCAATCTAGTTAGTGCATCATTCGCGAGGTTTGCAAATGGTTCCTCTTATCCGACGAGTTTTTTGTAATCACCACTTTACTTTTATATATTGTACGATTCGATTTAGCTGTTCGTTACATAGGTCAATCACTCAAAAGTTACAGTACCCACGGCGGGTTTACACGTCCGTCTATTAGTTGTTTACATGACAGGGGTTATGTTTAACTTTCTTCTTGTTCTATTGCTCACAACTTTGTGTTACATCTCGTTTACCACATTCACGTCAGTTATTTGTGCATTTAAAAGCTTTACGCTTGATCACAGGACAACTGTAACTATACGTTCTTCCTCCCTTCTCCCCTTTATCCTTTAAGTTAACTTTACCACCCAATGCAGTTCAGCTTGCCCCTAGAAACGACATCGCTGATTACGACGATAGCCTGAGCCTAAATACAAGCAGTGCATTCAAGGATGATTCCAAGTGAGTTGTTTCAACCAGTATGCGCATATATTTCTCCGTGCACACCGTTGCGTGTTTTACAGTGGCTGGATGCCCCGTAGTTCCGTTTCATACCTTTTTGTTACTCAAGGACTCGATGGCAGATGCATCTTCGTGGATACGATTGCCACTACACCGTGTAAACTAGTTTTTTCATACGTTACCCCCTAGTTCGTAATTGGGAAGCGCCTAAGCCTATGCTCATTATTGTGGGGACAGCCTGGATGAAGTTAATAGCTTCACTTATCTCGGAAGTTGCTCTATTAGCGATGGAATTTCGCAGTGACTTACCAAAGTTTGCATTGCATTCCTTCATCTAAGACAGTTATGGCGTCGTCTCGACGTGATTCTCGGTTTCAATCTCAAAACTGGAGTGTTCAGTTCCGTTGAACAACTATGGTCAGGCACCAAAGTTCGGTGGATGCAGTTGCCATGACTCAAGTAGCCGGATAAACAATAAAAGAACAATGATAAGAAAACGAAGATTATCACAATTAGAATACAGAGAAAATAGTTTTGACGGAAATGCGTTAACCTAATGGAGATGAAATGTAAATTAGCATGTAGATGCACGAAACCAAGAAACCATTGACTGAGCGACCGTGCCATCTCTGATAGGGTCACTAACCACCGGTTTGGATCACCTTGGGGTCCCCATCCACACAGCAGCTTGCCCAACTATCTAAAGGTAGAGTGTACATGTCACTGTCCATGCGGTCCTACTTTACGGTTTCGCCTGTTCGTGCATATATATATATATATATATATATATATATATATATATATATATATATATATATATATGAAGCTGTGGTCTGACGTAAAGGAAATCAGAATCGAAATCAGAGGAAAATATGCTACTATTTTGTCCAGTTTTCCATTCACAGTTTTTTTGTTAGAGAAGGGAAAGAGAATCACCGCAACGCGCAAGTACACCTCCGCCGGGGTCTTCAACCAGAGACACTCCACTTTCTGGGACCCAAACGATGGAGTCGAGAACAACCTACATAGGTCAACTTTTCCGTCAGCTTTTTCATGCCGCTTCTCCAATTCGTAGGCTGTCCACCGCCTCGTTTTCTCCAGCTCTGCCCAGCAACCGAGAGCAGTGAACTCCGCGGAAGACTCTGAGTGGGCATGCGCAATGCGTGACCTAACCATCACAATTGACGCAGGGGGACAAGCTCCTCGAGCGAATGCATGCCTCCACATTGGTTACGTGGTGCAGCCACCACACACAGGCAATAGGCTGCAAACAACGGTGCGTACGGATCACGTCTCGCAACCTTGCAGCAGCACAGTGTGGTCCTTTTACAAACTTTACGCAATTCTCTACAGCTAGCGTCGACCTTGATCGAGCAGTGTCTGTGCATCTGCGACAAGGAAACAGCGGTGATCCAGCCCTTCAGCAGGTGACAGGTAACTCCACAACTATCAATGCTGGCAGTAACTAAGACATCTTTGGTGCGCGCCCATTGTGAATTCAGACCATCTTCAGAAGCTGAGGCAAGCGCTGTCGCTAGAAGGGCCAGCTACTTGGATAACGCCGTAGAGTATTGTAGATGTTCGACGTTCTGCCGGTAGTGGGTACGCTTGGGTGATTCTCCGTAACACATGCAAACCTTGGGGCGAACCAATGCGTGATCGGAGTCCAGACAAGTTGACCAGTACGACCGGCAGTCGGTTTTACTTCCCAGCTTATTGCTAGGTTGTCAAACTGGGATTACTCTTGTGTTTGAGAAAGCGGGCTGCAGGCAGTGGTCTGTCTATTCGAGTGATGGAAACTGGTGCTCAAAAGAAACAAGCGATGACCAGAACAAAGAGTCAGTTGCTTGTCTTCGCCGAATTTGAGATGACTATCATTCCTCGGCAATCTATTTTTTCGAGCGATTGTTCGTGTGTGGTCGCTACCCTGTGTAGGCAATACAGAAGTCAGTAGCCGTGCACTCGGTATGAACAGCCCCCGCCTACAGGGCATTATTCTTCAACACCGTTGGAGTTGACGCGGCCACATACACCGCGTGTCAGCAATTCGTCTTCCTTCCTTTCCGGACCTGAACGGGAAAAAGGACGTGGGAGAGGTGCATGAACATTCTTACCTTATGTCTATCCTCAGTTTTGTCTGTCCGTCTCCCACGTTGTGGACCACGTGTTTCCGGTGGTTAGAAATTTACAGGGAATGGCTCTTATGGAAATCAATGACAACATTGCTGGTCTATCATTTTTTCACCTAAAATCTGACTTTAAACAAGGAGGAAAACAAAACGGCATGTGCGAAACATCAAACAGCTACCTCCTTTTTGCATCGTTTTCATTTCTTTGTTAAAAGAAAAGCTTTATCTTGCATTGTCGCTAATGACGACACAGTTGCCCGTTTTCGAACTTCTGAATAAATAGTAACACTAATTGTTTATAGGAATGCACAACATGGTAAACATTGGAACCATCGATCCCGACCATTCTTAATTTGGGAGCTCGATTTAGTCCGCTTTTGTAGGAGTAGCGACATTGCCGATGAGACTAATGTTCATTTTGATCTCACTAAAAGGGGTTGCTATCTTCTCATTGTCTCCGTAAATCACTAGTTCTCTCCTTTTAACTTTGGATCTGGCTCTCATTGTGCATACAGTTGAGCTAAATTGTTGGCTGTTAGGTGTGCAGTAGCCTTCGCTATCTTCACAACCAGGTCCTATCATTTGGTTGGTGTCTTTGCCACCCCGATCCTGAATGGAGTTTTGTTTCGTGATACAGCTCTGGATAAGGACGTTTTGGTCGCGTCTCTCGACCTTCGGCATTGCGCACACCCCCTCGTATTCTGAATTCGTTTAATCAATGGCGAATAATAGAGTTGCACTGAGTAAAACCACTCAGTCTCACAGTTGGGCGGATGAGACAGTTGCGTATTCTCATGCAACTCTACTGTTTTAGAAGAACCTCCATTACTACTGTTGGATATTAGTCTCCAGGAGTCTTATTATTTAATCGGCATAAATTTAAGACAAGGCTCTTGACTGCCATCATCTGTCACCTGTGCAATGCAGATGGAGTTATCAGTAAAAGCGATCACGATTATAGTAGTCTTTTCCATTGTCAAGGACCTCCGCTTTTATGGATACTGAGATACCCTGCTAGTTCCATTTTCTTGGTGAAGAACAATAAAGTTTCTGGACATACCCCACGCCATTTATTTGCACGGGCTTGTCAAGCTTGGTCTCAGACATTGTCGTTGTTCCGTTTCGTCATCTAATCATTATTCGCCTGCTTTGGAAGCGGTAGCATTCGAGTAGTCATGTCATGTGACCGCATGTCACGTCATGTGACTGCAATTTAGCTTCGTAGTATAATGTATATTCATCCGACTCCCAAACTTTACTAGTCCGCCATACCGTATTAGTCCAGTCCGTACACCTTTCCTGGGACAACGTACTTTTCAGCTCGCTTTGCGTTTATAACCCTGAGGGACTTGTTACTATATTTCAAGACTGTTTCTGGGTGTTCACCTACAAGATGCGGTAGTATAATGTCTCAACATTTCTCTCTTTCGGTACCGATTGTGGTATTCACACCACAGTCATTATACACTTGTTCGCGAAGGTACACAGATGGTTATAGTTCTTTTTATTGGCAACTTTATATGTCCCAACTGCCGCACCATTTGTAGTAGGGCTATCTAGAACAGCATATTCCAACTACCGTGGGTACGTTCAGACGCCTTATATCGCTTTTAGTGCGTTGGACTGTAGTCCAATTTTTGTGGACCATATCACCTCCCGCTTTGATATCTTGTTCATTTTACTCATTTTTACATCATATCAGGACAATCGCCCCTCATAGAAGACTCGATGAAACGTCCACCTTTTTACTACCGTTGTGTCAGTTTCCACTTTTGCTCCTCGCTTCAAACGTTTTTCCTTTACCGTTGTTCCTTAATCATAGTCAGCAGTGATGTTGTTCTCACCTTTTTCGTGGCATTTATTACAATTAGGCCTGGTCTAGAGAGTTCTTTATTGCCAACTTCGCCTTGCACTAACTAGGTAGCTCGATGTGGCACCTTCCCCACGATTAGGTTCTACCAATCTGTCGCTCGAAAATTCAAAGTATCAAATGAAAACAAGACAGACACCTTTGAACAGGCGCATGACGCTTTGTTTCTTGCTACAAAATAGTTTTGTTTTAGTTAATGGAGTTGCGATATAGTTGAATAGATGTGTAAGTAATGAATGTCTATTTGGACTAGACGCAACTGGAAAGGGTGGAAGATTCTCATGAGGGAGCAGTTGCCAGTGTGAAAAATGTGTGTGTGTGTGTGTATGCAGTTGCACCCAACGTAACCATCCTAACTACCGCATTCCGATAGCCAACGATTGAGAACTCCAGTCGGGGACGGAAATCATCCCCTCACACGGCAGACTGCTGGAACGCTACCCTTCCCCACTACTCGTCAAATCTTATTCATTGACTGCACTGTTCACCGGCATTCGTGTTGGTTTGACGAGTGTGTCATGCGGCCTTTCGAAGAACGGGGCTAGGCTCTGACGCAGAGCGCTCTGCGCTATTTGCGCGATCCGTGTGCGTTTTAATGGAATTTGATCTGATTACTGTTTTCCACATAGTAGTTAAGCCTCTTATGTTTCATCTTGAACTCCAAATTTCTGTCAGCACTACGAATCTGGGTATGTTCGGAAGACCTCGCATTACACATAGCCCGCGCGCGGCTGGAGAGGTGCTCATGTGACAGTGAAGCATCGGTGCGGCGCACTGGAGTACTGTTAATACTTTCCATACGTTTGCCTTTTCCTGATGTCCGCACCTGGCTATTAATCCTCCGTCGGGCGGTGGCCGGGTGGTCTGCGTATCTGGTTTGTAACCATAAGGTTCAAGGTTCAAATCCGCGTAGGGTTGGACGTCCTCGTGCGGCAGCGAAGTGCCGTTACGGTGTACAGCTGGCACATTATTTTATTATTTTTGTCCAGCCTCCACATATCACAACGGATTGTAATTTACCTACAGTTGACAGGTAATTGCTTGCCGCAAAACCACCCTATCGGCATGTGTATCGGTTCGTTCGGGTGCTTCAGCCCGAACCGCTTGATCTAGAGGGACAATGCAATGCCGGGTTGAGATCTTGTACATGTTCTCCCTTTCAACAGTATACAGATACCGTGTGCGGTGACGGCCTTCCATACCACACAATATCTAATGGTTCAGACATAACGTGTGTATCCCGCGTTATGGGCCTCCAGCACTGAGCTTGTTATTTTTCTCTGTCACACTGCTATCCACACTGCCTGGTGTTGGTCTGTAAACGGTACCCAAGTTTGATAGCACAGGCTCCATGTGACCTAGATTACTCGTCCGTAGCCCTTTCCGCCAAGACATAGTGCGCACAAATAGTCTAGATACGCTTTGGCAACAGGAGCACACAGCCAGCTGTGGTGGCTGATCACAACCACAGCGACCTGAGAGTCTTAGCTATATATGTGACTGATGGTTCTGCTATGAATGAGGGTGTGAGTAAGGAAGTAGGCATGTAAGCGAATGAATAATTGCATCTTGATGGAGCTTGGACCGACAACGAATGGGTCGTGGCTCTCATCAACCTGCCTCCTAGTCTTATTTATTAGTTTTCACTGAATATGCTGTGTGTAGGCTAAGCGGTGGGTGGTGCAGCCGCACATGGTCACTCCGTAAACACAAGTGCCCTGTCGAAAAGAAGTCCACACGCCAATCCGGAAATGGATGCCACCAACCATTATGGAAAAAGTAGTAAACAGGAAAGGTCTTCCGGGTTTGACCAATTTAATCTAACTCGGTTTCCCTGATTTACCCTGTATTTTTACTCCACCACCTATTTGTGGTCCAACTTTCCACCGACTATTGCATTTTCGAATATCCACATGTAGGCAGTGCGTTTCGATCTGCTGTTAACAGTTCTCATCTCCGACTCATCAATCGACTTTTATTGCTTTTGTTCGCCGCATCGCCCCACTACCCTTTGACAAGTTGGGGATCGGTTCAAAGGCAACGGTTGGGATTACGCCATTCAAACTACCAGGGGGGATTCATGTGCCTCAGCTACGATCATTACTTCAGCCCGACGATTTATGACCGCGGGCACATATATCCGCACCGGTTATATCATTGACAATTTTAGTACTCCGAAACATCGTCTCAACATGCATTATAAATACTGTGTTGACAAACACCGGGAGATTCAAATAAGTATTACTTACATATGGTCCTTGCTTGACTCTTTTGGTAGGGGCGTATTCAAACAGGTAACATCCGGCCCGGCCATGTGCTCCTTAATGCTATATGTAAATTGATTGATTCCTATTGACTGCAACTCACCTTCTCCCTATGTCCCTTTGGACGCTGATGTCCCATTGATTTGGGCCGAACCTGCTTCCGATAAGTGATCTGTCACACGAATACTCATAAGCTAGCAAGTTCTGGCAATGCGGAGTCGCAGTTTAGAAATGCCTCAACTATTGTGCTGCTATACAATGCACTTACATCATCGTAGAAGAAAGAGGTAATGACAATACAAATAACAGTACCCTTTGTTTTTTTATTCTCGTGCGTTGTTTTTGAAACCGGGTTGGGGGGGGGGAACGCTAAGTGGGGCAATGAGACGCGCAACACAAACGCCACTCAGGTCGGCTCTTCACCATGCCGACAAGTGCATCCAACCATGCGTGTTCAACGTTTTTCGCGTCCCAGTCAGGGAGTCGAGAGGTACCAACCGAGGCGAAGTTCGAAATAAAAGCTTTCATTCCTCTTGATCAATTCATCGACTGGCCTCCTCTCCTCTTCAGGAGTTCGCATTTGGTAGTTCGTGCGCAATCTCTTCAACTCTCTGTATGACCGATGAGTAGTTCTATTTGGATTCTATCTTATGCATTCCAGTAGCGTGACTGTTCGCTAAGCTCATTCGTTATGCTTAGGTTTCTGCTGAATATCTCAGATGACTCGCTACGTATGTAATTTAGCCCCTGAAAGTGTGTGCGCTGGTTACATGCATTTTTTCCCACATTCCCGTTGTGTAAACATGACTGCTCGGCCTGCGAACGATCTGCTGGACTATTTACCTCTATTCAGTCTATACATGACGTGTGGTAAATGTCTATTTCTCAGTGGCACATCAAGTTTAGCTACTTTCCTACCAGGACGATGCCGTTACCTCTACTAATGAATCCAGGAGACCGCTAATAGTTGTTGGCATGGTGAATTACACTATCTTCGTGATAGTACCAAGCTAAAAAGGCGGTTCCCCAATCAAATTTACTGCGGTCCAGCCAAAGCTTTGTGTACATCTTATACGCATGTTTCCCGAAATTTCGCATCGTTGAGGTAGGTGTAAGAAGTGGGTGGGTGACACACAAACCTTCGTGGCTCCAATCTGCACACAATTATCGCCGGTTTTACACCTTATCTGAGAAATGTGGATTTAGTTGTAGGCGGTGCAGCGCAGTCCGCCTATTGCCCCCCTTCCCACCTATGCCCTGACGTTTACTAGCTGTTCTAAGCTATATTAGTAGATAAGTAAAGAAGGGAACACCGCAAACCGTTATTGAGCAAGGTAACGATGAGAGGCTTGATCGAGCTGGCACTTGCCATCTTACTAGATGGGGTCTCGGGATCGACCAAATCAGTGGTTAAAGACCTTTTCCAACGTAACTTATTCGATAACCAGTGAGACTCTTGTGTTCAGTCCGGTGTTTGCAGCTGTTGTCCTTTACTACTTACGATTATTGACTTTTCTTAGCGTCATTCCAATGAATGTGTCTTCCTCTGTCAATCTACCTTGATTGAAGTCGTCCACTTCAATCGAACTGGGCTCTCATTGTGCAAACTGAAACTCGTTTGCTCAACCGTGTTTAAATCTTACAAATACATGGTAGTTTATTTTCTGACTAATTATCGCATCAACATTGTTTTTCTTTTTCCTCTTCAGGTTTATAGCTTTTCGACGCGGCAACAAAGTGGGTATTAACGTCGGTCTTACCCCACTGACGCCTAGCAAGACTTACCACACTGTCAAAGTACCGTTGACTAACCTGACCGAAATTCCCGAACCAGAAGAGAATCAGGTGCCATTGCATTCTATCTTTGTGCCACTTCGTGCAGCCGTATGCTTGAGTTTCGACTATAAAAACACAACTCCCAGTCTGTTGTCGGAACACAGAGCCGCTCAAGCTGCTGCTTCCGCTGCAGCGACCGCCTCAGCCTCTGCCACTAGCGCCGTCAAGGCCGGCAAAGATTCGGTGGAGCCTGACAAGACATCATCAGTCGCCACTACTCCTACCAATGCTTCTGGTGACCAGGTGCACAAAATCGAGCTTACCGCTCTTTTGAATTTCGGTGAGATGTCAGTGGCGCTCAAATGAATCGTTTCTTGCATAGCTTCCGTCATCCTGAGAAATGGACGTCGCGGCCTTTTCGGAATGGATTTAATGCGACACAGGTCTTCTCCCACCTCATTTTCGCCGGTTTTGGGAATGACGAGTTCAATCATTTTTCACCGCAACACAGTTCGGCACATTTTGCTTGAAATCTAACTATCCCTGTTTGCTTCGTACTTTACTGGTTTCGCTTTTTCTCCGGGCCTATTTACTTCCATCGATATGCAATCGACCTTCACCATTGCCATGTGCATCATGTTGGGTGTGTGTGCTGAATCTAGCTGTCACTATTCGCACGTGATTACGGGCGTCTTTTCACACTAATTGGATCTGATTCACCTACATCGAGCACGCACATTTTGTTTTTTCCCTAATAGTCTATTTAGCCATAAACATCATCCTTATAAACGTTAGTTAGAGGTGTAAAGCACCTCAGCTACTGTGCCGCAATACACAAAAAAGGAAATAACTACAACAGTTGTATGCTACCTTAGCTAATATCAACGGATGGATCGTTCCGGTAATCTACCCGCAGGCTATTAAGCAACATGAAAAATTATTATTTAAAATTATATTTTGCTACGGAATGAGATCATGGTTGGAGGGGGAGGCTAAGAGTGATGGGGTGGGACAAAGAAACTCACAGCATGAACGCCACTCGGGTCGGCTCCCAGCCATTTCAGCAAGTGTATCTAGCCAAACGTGCCCATCGCCTTTTGGTCCCCAACCAGGGAGCCATGAAGCTTCAAAAGAGGCCAACTTCGAAGTGAGAGCCTTCATTCCTCTCGACCAAGTCATCGCTTGGCCACCTCTCCTCTTCTTCCATTCACACCCCGGCGCGCAAACAACGCAAGTCCCGGGAGTCAATGGGCTGGCATGCGTAACACGTGGCCGAGCCATCGGAGCCTGGTGCGTGAAATGACGGTGTTGAGCGGTTCGGTTCCTTTTCCTGTGCTACCAGATTTGAGGCTTACTGGGAAGGCACCGGTGGTCGAAGGTAACTAGCCTCTTTATGTGTGCTGCTCAAAGGGGGTCAGGATTCACAACCGTATAGTAGGGTCGAACATACCACTAGATTGTATACTCTACCCTTCAAAGCGAGAGTGATGTCGCGACGCCGCCATAAGTGGCGAAAACTAGCAAAAGCAGTTCGAACCTTTGCTATACGGTTCGTAATCTTGTCTGCGATCCCAAGGGCGCTGATACAACTTCTCAGGTAATTGAATTTTTGAACGACTTCTAGTTAATCCCCATCAAGGGTCAGCACAGCACGTGATTCCTGCCAATCTTGGAGGAATAGTTTGCACTTCGATGGTGCAAAGCAAAGCCCGAAGCGGCTGACAGCTAGTGCTAATCTGTACAGTGCAGCTTGGCACGTTTTGGAACTGTCACAGATTAGGGCAATGTCGTCAGCATACTCCAAGCCAAGAAGTCGTTCTCCCGGGAGTAGCTCCACACCTAAATTGTGTCCTGTGAACGTGATTTCCATAACTTCATCAATAGCGAATTTGAAGAGGAAAGGTGACAGCCGGCATCCTTGTCTTACACCACTGGAGATATTGAAGGGCGGCGATAGCTTGCCCGTGCTATGCGCGTATAATGCTCGGATAATATTTACCTATTTCTCGGGCACAACTTTCCTGAGTAGACAGTCTCAAAGGGCACTTCGATCAACCGAATCGAAGGCACTTTGATGTCGAGGAACACGACTACGGTGTGCCGCCGATATGTGTGACAGTGCTGAACCATGTTTGTCATTCCGTCATCGCAATGGTTATACGGCACTCTGTTGCCGAATTGCTTATGGGTCTCTGCTATTAGAATACATCAAAGAGTCTTCATAGTTGGGGCACAGAAACGTACTGGGAAGAAATTCGCGATTGGCTTACACATCAGGGAAGGTTTATCTATCTCTGATGACTGAAATCTCCTTCTCCTATTTAGAAGCAAATGTGGGTGGCTAAAGTTGTTCTTTTGTTGAACTGTCGCGAACGATTCGTCACCAGTCGAGGTGGCATCATCAGTGCGTTGGTGCGTAGCGAAGCGATGTACAGTGTGATGTTATTTTGAACTTGCTACTAATCTAACAGTTAATTGACCAGTTCCTGATAGAGGATGACATGTAGTCAAGAATGAAGACTACCACCACCCATCTGTCTGCTAGAGTGCGTGCGTACACTTGTCTGTGGTCCATGCGAATAATGGCTGAAGTATTCCGTGGGGTGATCGACCTCCACGTCGATTTTGCCATCACGGCTCATTCGGTCCGTCGATCTGGCGCCGCTTACGTTGCGGTGATTGTGAAAAGCGTGGAATTTTGGAGCGATTACGCATCTCTTTACGGAGCAGCAGATTTAATATTATATTCTTAATGCAGTTCCACGTTATTTCTGCCTCGCCATGTTCGCAATTACGCTTGTGCTACCATGGATGCTGTTCACTTTAGTGAGCAAGCAAGGGGGAATAGTGGTGAAGTGCGGATGAGGAGTGTTAGCACGAGCGCGTTCAGACACCCATCTTCATTGCTCCGACCGCGGCGCTCCGATTGTCCCTCTGCAATGTAGCAATGAACGTGTTTTCTCCTTCTCAAAAGGACGGGTTATTTCCATGTTATCCCTATCCTTGTCTCAGAACTGTCAGGAGGCTAACGACTGCGTAAAACTCATAAGCAGAAGGCTATCAACTAAATTCATCTGCTATTCACCTCCGAATGACCAGCTTTGCGTTTTTATAACTGCTCTGGGTGATTTTCATAACTAGGAAGCGACCTGTGAGATTATTTCGATTTTCATGCTTGTGCATGGACCAATTTCTACTACACCGGTGCTACTTTCCAGCGCGGATGCTGCATTGTGCCATGTGATCGGTGAGCTGCTGAGGACCAAGACAAATGTTAGTACCGTTTACCCTGGGTAAAGCCAATGGCGAGACACTCAAATCGGCCGTTACCGTTTTTCCCTGGAATATCGCTTTTTTAATCTGTCTAGTGAAGATGATGGTGATGACTAAGGATTTATCAACTATGCTGTGCTTTTCCTGGAATTTTGTTTATTTGAACTATTCTTAGGTCATCACTGATCTACGCAAGTGATTGCTATACGGCTGAGCTAACGTTACGAACAGTCACTTAAGGAGTCCGATTGGCTCACTTAAGTATTTTGTGTTGGCAGTTTTGGCTGTTTCTTCACTGAAGTGGGACTCGCGCGAATCAGGTCAGTTTGTGTGGCCTCCCGAAGCATCATTCACATTTGGGGGTAGTCAGACGATGGCATATGTCACTTCCCGATGCTGCGCCCTATCCCATGCAGCCCCGGGCTCAGCGATGTGAAATCGGGAACATAGAAGGATCGGTCGGAGGCTTATATTACGATCCTCTCCACTCTAGTACCCGGAATCTCGCTAATAATGCTCAACCCCCAGGACACAGTGCCATTGTGTTGTTCCGTTTTGCTGGTCAACTATGATCCAAACACCAAAGTGCGACGGATACCGCTTCAATTATGGCAGTTAGACTAGTGGAAAATTGGGGCTGGGGTGGAGAGAAAAAAAATTGATCAAACTGTTCGACAAGCAATGAATAGAGAAGCATTAGTTAAGTGTTAATTGGTTTGACTAATCTAACGTATGCAAGGGTACCATCGGTTTTGCGATTAAATCTTTTTGGAAAGAACCCCATCCCGTACCAGGCTCCACTCAGGGAGACCGTACTCGCCCGTGACAATGGAAATCACTGTCTTCTTCTCAACTAGACCGGTGAGACAATCACCTGAAGGTGGAAAGGGTCTAATGTCAAAATAGGGAAACTTTTGCATTACTTTAGGTGTACAGAGTGAAAAAGAAGTCATCAAGGGGTGTCAAATTGGTAGGCTTCCCACAGAATTCAGGTACAGCGCCGAACAACAGATAACGAATGTGCGATAAACATTGCGACAAGAAGGTCTGACAACAAAGTGGAACCTCATTTGACCGAAAGAGTTACTGAAGTCTTAATATTAATTCGCGAAATGATAGATAAATAGGCAAATGCACTAAGCTCTTTTTCCATGTGGGCGTCATATTCGTTCATGTTTGTAAAGAAAGGCGCAAACGTTTCAAAATAGTACCTTTACCATTGCGCTGCTACCTTGGTTGCAACTATTAATTGAATGAGTGGGGGAATGTGAGAGAAAGACCATGTTGGATCCAAATACTTGAGATAAATCGCTGTGATGATCGATAGAAGAAGTAAGTGATTGATTCCGAGAACGTCAATGATCTAATGGTTGTGGTGTATCAGATGGGTCTGCTAAGAACAGCTGACATTGGCGGTTGAACTGTTCGCTGAGTTTAGCAATTTTGTTGCAAATGTTTCACCACCAATCGAGGTGACATCATCAGTGCGTAGTTGCGTGGCGTGCAGTAGCGTAGAGTATCGTAGCGGAGCCTCGGTGAGGCTCCGCGGTGTTGTTTCGCTCTCGTTCAATTAACCTATGATGATTCGTGCAGCGGCCATGGTAGATCCAGTCTTCTGTTGCGTAGGTCGCAATATTACCACTACGGCGTCTCGAGTTCCGCGGGTAACGGCTAAAGCTATCTTCAAAAACACGGTTTGTCGCTGTGATGGATAACCTCGGAATTGTACTAAAAGTCCCACTACTCATTAGTAATACAAATATCATGAGTGTTTAGGGCGAAAAAGTCGGAAATTAGGCAGACGAGCAGCATTCAGTTCATACTTCACGGTTTAATTAGGTGATTCCAATTAGCGTTCGTATCATTCACCTCGTTCCTAAGAGGTGGTCAATGTCCCGACTCAAAATGGTAGGGCTGGTCCACGAACTCTCCAAATGAGTGCTCCAGAGAAGTCGACAATATATCTTGAGCGGTTGGTAGCGCACCATTCTGTGGGCATTAGATGACGTGACTCGAATGTTTGTATTGGAAGATGGCGTTATTGTTAGAAACCTACTGCGAAAAGCAACAACGAACTCGGAACATAAAACGAC